TTAGAAGTGTTTTCATTAGGCGATTTGATCAATATATATATATGTTTCTTCTCTTTTTTTTTCTTTGTTAATAAATTTATATTTGTTTGAACGCTATCTTTGTGAGTGAGCGCACATTCATTTATGTTGCGGCTGGCCCTAGACGGTCGTAACATAATTGGGGGCTCGCCCACCAGTTCAAGCTTTGCTCCGGTTTGAACGACCAGGTTCGTTAAACAAATGGTTCATTCGATTTAATGAAAGTTGCCTTATTTTTTTTTTTTTTTTTTATCATTTGCCTTGGGGTTTTTACCTTAAAGGGAAGGGAATTCGGCAGTGTTTTTGAGATGTCTTCTAAATTTGATTTAGAGGAATTTGCGATTCGGCCTACGGTGCAGCAGTTAGAAGACTGTTGTAAAGATGACTTATTGGCAATCGCGGATTTTTATCACATCAAGGTGCCTCGAGCTGCAGTAAAGAGGGAGATTAAGGGACTAGTTGTGGGATATATGGTGGAAAATGGGATCTTGCCAGCGGAGGCCAAGCTAGCGGGTGTTGCAAATCCCATATCGAGTTCCGTGGGTACGGGAGCAGAGCATCCCAAACCAATTAGCATAGATCCAGCTGAGCTGCCATCTCCCCAAAACCCATTGTTGACCATTAAGTTAAAGGAGCTTGAGGAACTGAGCCGGCAGCAGTACCAAAGTCAGCTGTTGCACGTAAGAACAGTCGAGCTGGAAACTCAGCGCGCAATCCGGCTGAAAGAGCTGGAGCTGGAACTTAAAACTACGGTTCCCAACAGGTCTCCAACTACTGGTCCACCCGGCGCAGGTATGCCTGTGTCTTCTCCAATCAGCACTTCCGCTCCTGGTTCTGAATCTGCATGTCGACGCAATTTGCAAGTAATGCCGAGTTCAGACTGCACGATTTTCAAAATAATCGGGTCACTGTTGTTTTCACACTGCATGACTATCTGGGGGTAACATTCAGTTTCTGCTGTGTTCACACTGCACGATGGATTGGCGACAGGAGGTTTCACACTGCATGACTTTACAAAAGAAAGAATCGTCTTTACAAATTGTCTGTGCACTGATTTGTAGCGAAAAAAAAAACAACAGTTTATGCAGGAAATGGTTGGGAAGACGAGGGGAGCAAGGACTGTGTTTTGCAAAGAGAGTTGGGGGTAAATAAATAATTTTGCAAATGTCCTGCTGTTGCTTCTGGTCACGCAAATGTTTGTGCTTTGTTTCTGTTTGATATAATTGTAAATATAGGCCTATCTATTAAAATACTGATATTCTGGTCTATAACTCCTCCTCCTCCTCCTTGTATCTTGCTCGTTGGCTGTCGGTCATCGCCGATGTAGTTTTCCGTCAGAACACATTCACACAGCAGGATTGTGAATCGCCGACAGGTCCAGATATTTAGCATGCCAAATATCTCACGGGCGTCGGCGACTCGTCGGCGATTCTCTCAGATCGCGTCTTTGCTCATTCACACTGCGTGATTGTCACTCGCGTGAACGAGCACCAATTTGCCTGTGATTTCGGGCATTTGTCGGCGATTTCTCAAAACCTGTCGGCGAGCCAAAATCGAAGGCTAAAATCGTGCAGTCTGAACTCGGCATTAGTCAAAGTTTTGAAATCAGTAAACAAATTGCGTTAGTCCCGCTCTTTCGTGAAAGTGAAGTGGATACATACTTCACTGTGTTTGAACGCATCGCCGCCACGCTTCAATGGCCGCTAAATGTTTGGCCGCTGCTGTTGCAGTGTAAATCGGTTGGGAAAGCCCAAGAAGTTTGTTCCACGTTGACTCTTGAGCAGAGTTAAGATTATGATGCGATGAAGAATGCGGTGCTGCGCGCTTACGAATTAGTTCCTGAAGCCTACCGTCAAAAATTTAGGAATCATGTAAAATCTCAGGGGCCAGGGCAAACGTTTGTGGAGTTCGCAATTCTTATGATCGTACACGAAATGTTAAAGATGTGGTGACTTTGAGAACGCAGGTAGTGACAATATAGAAAGCCGTGAATGTTTTTATTGTCATGAGGCTGGGCACCTCATTTCAGCTTGTCCTGCTTTGAAACGGAAATCTAGCGGAAAGCCTCACTCTTCAAAGAGTGTGGTCCTAGTTGATAGTCGAACATGTTCATTGAAAGGTTCATCTTTTTCGACTGCTGAGTCTGCATTCGAGCCGTTTATCTTTGACGGAACAGTGTCATTTGATGAGTCGAGGTCTGAAGCCAAACCTGTCCGCATCCTGAGGGACACACTGGGTCGGCTCAGTCGTTTATCTTAGAGTGTACTATCCTTTTCTACCCATTCTAGCTGTGAGGCTGATGTACTAGTAAAAGGAATCGATCTGACTGTTGTTAAAGTTCCCCTGCACAATGTATTTTTACAGTCTGGCAAAAGTTCGGGGCTTGTCAAATTGGATGTTTGTGCTGAGTTACCTGTTGAGGGAGTATCGCTCATTCTTGGTAATGATTTGGCGGGTAAGAAAGTTTTCTGTTTACCTGAAGTGACGGATTACCCAGTTGATGTAAAAAAAGGTAACGACGTGTTGCGTGAAACATTTCCTGATGTGTTTAGTGCTTTTGCAGTGACTTGTGCTCAATCTCGTAAGTTTGAGGTAAAACACTGGATCTTTCTGAATCTTTTTTGTCTACTGATGTTCTTGATCAACCTGATCAGGATGTAAACAATGTGAATGAGTTGAATGTGTGTGCCATTCCTGATTTTAATCTGCCTTTAGGTAAACTGGAGTTGATCAAAGCGCAGCGTGCGGATCCTAGTTTGGTCCCTTGCTTCAGAACTGCAGTGAAACAAACTGCCTTGCCAAAGCATTCGATCGCTTATTGCGATGGAGAGGTGTTGATGCGTAAATGGTCTCCGCCTAAAGCTGAGGAGAATTGGAGTACCGTTTACCAAGCTATGGTTCCAAAGCCTTATCGACTACAGGTATTAAGCGTCGCACATGAACATGAACTCTCAGGCCATGTTGGCATCAGGAAAACTTATGATAATTTGTTAAAACATTTTTTTTGGCCATCTTTGAAATCTGATGTAGCAAAGTTCTGCAAGTCGCGTCGGTAAACCAAACCAAGTTATTCCCCCAGCTCCGTTAAAACCAATCCCAGTGCTTGGAGAACCGTTCAAACGTATTTTAATTGATTGTGTTGGCCCTCTGCCAAAAACAAAATCTGGAAACTCTTATCTTTTAACCTTAATGTGTGTGACCACCAGATTTTCTGAAGCAATCCCTTTGCGAACTCTTAAAGCTCCATCTATTGTTAAAGCCATTGTCAAATTCTGCACTACATTTGGTCTGCCCCGTTATATTCAATCTGATCAGGGTAGTAATTTTATGTCAAGGGTGTTTGCAAAAGTAATGAATCAATTAGATGTCAAACACCAAGTGTCTAGTGCCTATCATCCACAATCTCAGGGCACTCTTGAGCGTTTTCACCAAACATTAAAATCGATGCTCCGTACCTTTTGTGTAGAGCGAGAATGAGAGTGGGATGAAGAAATTCCTCTTTTATTGTTTGCTGTCCGTAACACGACACAAGAATCGCTTGGTTTTAGTCCATCAGAGTTAATTTTTGGTCATTCTGTACGTGGTCCATTGAAGGTTCTGCAAGAACAGATACTAGGTGATGAGTGTTCTTCTCAGCCAATGAACGTTTTAGATTATGTCAGTAGTTTTCGTGAGCGTTTGCATACTGCATGGAGCTTGGCGAAGAAATCACTTAGTGCTGTTCAAGAGAAAATGAAAACACGCTATGATCATGAGGCCGTAAAACGTTCATTTCAGATTGGGGACCGAGTTCTTGTTTTATTACCAATACCAGGCTCTCGTTTGAAAGCCAAATTTGTCGGTCCCTATGAAATTCAGGCGAAGTTAGGAGAGACTTTTTATGTTGTGAATACTTTTAACCGCAGGAGAAAATCAAGGGTTTGTCATGTTAATATGCTCAAGGCTTATGTTACTCGTTTTGATGTGTCAAATGTGGCCGCTGCTGTAACAGTTGTACCTGTGAATGTCTCTCTGTCTGACTATTCACCTGAGAGTGATGATTTAAAAATGAGTAGTGCTTCGTTTTCGACTGCTCGTTTATTAAATTCTGAAACCTTGAAAAATCTGTCGACCAAATTTTCACATTTACCTGTTGCTGCTCAAACTGATCTCAGAAATTTGATCCGTAAGTATCCTACATTATTTAATGATATGGACTTGCTATATATTGCTAGCCGCTCTGAAAATTGCCTACTTTACCTGACACAGAAGGGACACTGTGTGACACCCCATAAAAACAATCTTTTTATTTTTAACTACATCTTTCTGTCATGACAAAGTAGTGATACTTTAAATATAATTATTTATAATGCTGTTTTTCTTACATTTAAAATAGGTTTTACTCTATATGAAGTACAGAGTTATGGTCTAAGGACAGGAAGTGATAATCTAGTTATATTTTTGTTTTAATAAAAATACACTTAATGAATATACACGTGATCAGCTCCTATTTATTTCAAAATGGAAATACATAGACTACTGTATTAATACAATTATTATATTTGACATCCAGTGATCCATAATATGAAAATGTTTGTTTGAAATTATTAGAAGTAGCCTACTGCTGTTTTGTGTTTACCAGTTACTCCATACTAAGTCAAAAAAACATGCACAATGCGCAGGACTGGTATTTACATTTTATTTACAATATAGAAATATAATGCATAACATTCATATAATAACAAAGGGTATAGGCCAGCATATATGGCCTTAAACTAAAACTGTATGAGAAAGGATTATTCTTATTCCATATATTATCAATTTATTCAATCACATAAATACTTTAAATCTTAATTTAAATTAAATATTATAATATCAGACATGTGAGGCCTATAGCCTACATTTATAAGCTATAGATAATCTTATAGATAGCGACTAAAAAGTGTCTTTGAGTAGGATTTTTATATTTTGACATGTTTAAGTCATTAATAAAGAGTTGGATCTCCTTCATTATCCTCCTCGGAGACGGAGAGTCATTTGAATGGTGCTTCCAGATGTGATGTCATAGTCTTGCAGCATCTTTCCAGCCTCCAGTTGTTTGGTGTTGCAAATCAGTATCTGCTGATCATTGGGGACATTCTCTTTGCGGGAGATCTTAGTCTGGAGCTGATCTACGGTCTCATTGACATCAACATCATAGGTTTTGGTCTGGCCCTTCACGTTCGTGACGAACACTTGGAAAGGTCGAGGTTTCGTGATGACAAGACTCACCACTGTGTCTGAGAGCAACCCGTAACTGCTGAGGCTTCTGGAATCATCATCAAGGTTGATACGGTGACCGTTGTCGATAGAAAGCTTCTGTTTGTGACGAGGTTCACTGAAGTGTTGAGAAATGAGCTGCTTGAGTTCACCAACTGTGGCATCACCGCTCACCACCAGCCGCTTCTCATCTCCGCCCAACAGTTTTACTGTCAGTTCCATGTCTGTCAGGAAGAGATTAATATAAAAGCACTAGAACTACTACAACATCGTATACTTATACAAAGCTGGATATTAGCGTTAATATAAATGTGCAGTAATTTCATAGGCTAGGCTATGCAACTTACCGAGCTGGGTTGTTGAATACGAATATTCCCTGAATAGTCAGGTAGCTAAATTACACCGAGTCTCTGGTCAGTGAGCAGAGGCATGTCATGAATGTATATAAAGCATCAACTCAAGCCCCGCCTCAAAGTAATGTTTCGTTTCCGAAAACTTACTCAGTCACTTTCTGTTTCCATTCTCAACTAATCACTGACGTATCGACAGGACGTTCAGCGCAGCTTTCTGAATAATTAACAATAGCTACATTCAAGATCTTGTTCAGTAACATCAAATCCTGAAAATTTCATCACATATTTTCATATATTTATGTAAAAAATCCCTTTGCCGCTATTTTAGACAAACAATAAAAGTAGCTCAACATCCGGTATCATTGGAATGACAGAATTCCCCACGATCAAGTGATGTAAAGGCAGATAAAGCAAACCAAACTCAACATTCTCTGGTCTGTCTTCTAGTTTTATTGCATTGACATTTTGTTATGTAAATGTGTTGTTTATTGTAAATTATGATTATTTTATTATCTCTGTAATATGCCATTCTTGTTGGTTCCTTATAAATAATTTATATTTGTGTTTGATTTGTAATTTGTTTTTGTTTTGTTCGATCTCTATAGAGGGAATGTTAATAACTTCCATAAAATATGTTTGGAACATTACCACTCTCTAGAGTCTAGACACAGCACAATTGATATACTAAATACATATTTATTATAATGCAACGTATGAGCCAGTGTTACATTTCAGTGTTTAAGCATAGCAGATCTCTCTTCTCTCTTTGGTAGTGGGATGTTTCCTACATTAAAAAAGAAAGATTGATTATTTATGAGTGTTACTGTAACAGTGTTACTGTGTTTTCCCCCTTTTCTAGTATTTTGGTTTAGTCCTGTTCAGTTTTCCCGCTCCTCATCATCCCTCATTTAATTCACCTGTGTTTAGTTAATCATCTTCATCTGTGTCACCTGTGCCCCAATTATGTTCCTTTGTCTCCCTGTGTTATTTAAGCCCTCTGTTTCTCCCTATTCCTTGTCCGTTCTCGTTTGTATTATGACGTGTGTTGTGACTCCTAAGTTTAAATAAATTCCTGTTCCTCGTCGTCTTCCTCGTGTTTCCTCCACCACGTCCCGGGGCCGTGACAGTTACACAGATGTTCGGTTACTTCTAATTTTTTTTTTACAGAGATCTTCCATCTCTGGTTAATTCCTTCTTTTTTTACCTGGAGGTGCAACAAAGTACTCCTCTACTGTGTTTTTGACCAGCTGGAGCAGCTCCTCAGCACATTCACCCTCCGTTACAGTATCGGCTCTCAAATACAAGTCTCTGTACACAACATGAAGTACAAAGGAAAAGTTTAGCTTCTATAAAATGGTGACATGTTGACACTGTACTATGAGCAAACATACTTGGAGTGGTTGGGCAGATCAGGGCTGAGTAACCATAATTTTGCATTGACATATTAAACAATATTATCAGAAAACCAAAGAAAACACCATAAAAAAGGTCTTGCGTTATTTCACCCATCAAAACTAGTACACTGTTACGTAGCTTTTATGACTTATCTATTGATCTGGAAGAATAATAATATTATTCTCCCCATATTAATGTCATAAAAGGTAACTACAGGGGTTAGGTTTAGGTGAAGGTTCATACCTAGTTATTACCCAGTTATTGTAATAACTTTAATAAGTACATAGTATGTACATGGGGAACAGGACTGTGAAATAAAGTGCTACCAGTAACACTTTATTTTAAGGTGACGTAGGTACATCTACTTACTATAGTAATAACAGTAAATGATGCATACTTACAAGTAACTGACCCTAAACCAAACCCTAACCGTAACTCTATAGTAAGTAGATGTAGTCAATTAATATTACCCAGTACTTATCTGAGTCAGTACATTGTAAGTACGTCACCTTAAAATAAAGTGTAACCTTTTATTATTAATTCAAAGGATTTAGCAAGCTCATATATCTATAATATTTTTTCTGTTTTTCAGAGTCCTTTGCGTCTCTCTTCAAGGTAGGAAAGATGATTGGATCCGGGGGATTTGGCAGGGTGTACGAGGGAAAACGGAAATTTGATGGCAAAAAGGTAAATATTACCGAACTGTACAAACATTTTTGCAAAACACATTTGAAAAAATTTACAGATGGTTTAATACCTAGTGCGAGGTCAATTGCCCGAATACTGTTACTGTTAATGAAACATTTTTTGTTTTTTTGCAGGTTGCCATCAAGCAGATCAGCAAGATTGACAACAATCGTCATCTTGATATTGTAAGTTGTTTAAAACCTAAATGTGTATTTAGTTGTTTAAGTGCTGATTACTGTAGACAATACACCTGTAGGAAGCATTAGCTGTACATTTTATAGAGAAATAATAAGCCTAGAAGCACCAAATAACTTTGAGCTGAAAAGGCTCTGTATCTACAGAGGTCAAAGAAAAGTACATTAAAAAATGAGATTTGTACCCAGCTAATCTTCTGTCTGCTACTTTTCTCTACCCTGGGCATCCCGAACCTCTCGTAACAGAAGTGGCGCTGCTGCTAATGATGAGGCAAGAACCCAGAAGCCCCTACGTCATACAGCTGTACGAGTGGTTTGAACACCCTCGAAAATTCACTCTCGTCATGGAGTACCCCGAACCTTGCGAGAGCTTGCTGGACTTCATCATTCGTAACCCTGAACTGAATGAACCAACGGCACGAATCATCATGAGACAGGCTGTGCTGGCGGTACAACACTGCATCGAACATGGCGTTTTTCATAATGACGTTCATGCGGAAAACTTCCTGATGAAGAAAAACGTACTCGGTTACTGACGTAACCTCGGTTCTCTCTAGAGAGGGAACGAGTACTGCGTAATATCTTACGCTATGGGGAAAACCTATTTTCCACGAGATATTGAAGCCAAAAATTATCCTTAATTTTGAATTAATGTAAAACGCTGTGCAGCAGCATGCAGACATAGGCAGGACGGCTCGCGCGCCTATTGGCTGCCCTGCTGCAACAGCAGCAGCCTATCGAGAGAGGCGCTGCGTGACACCATATCCAATGGGGGCATTTCGCACCCATTTCGTCACGTCCCGCCAGAAAGGGCGTGGTCTCGCCCTATAAATATAGCTCGATAAGGCTGATACACTGGTTTTCATCGCCGAAGCGAACCAGAGCTGTGTATGCACGGCAAGATACGCAGCACTCGTTTCCTCTCTAGAGAGAACCGAGGTTACGTTAGTAACCGAGTACGTTCTCTTACGAGAGTATCTCTCGTACTGCGTAATATCTTGCGCTATGGGGAACACAATGCAAGACGCCGTGCGTACTGGGATCCGACACCAAAGTCCCAAGGGCAGTAGCCCGGGGCTCATGTAGTGCATAATCACCATAGACTCACAGAGAGTCGGAGAAGAGAGGCTGCAAGCATCATTCCCCATGAAATAGCATCCTAAAGGAGCTAGTTATGTTAACAGTGTTTCACACAGACAGGGTGAACGTGTTCAGCCTGAACTGGGTAACAGTACGGGTTATTCAACACCCATGGAGCTGTTTTATCGCTCAGTGAGCGATGCACAAGCAAAACTCAGCATCTGGGCCGGTACAGCGGGGCAGATAGCACTGAATTCTATACCGACAGAAGCTTGGCTTGTAAGGCGGGAACCTCTAGGTTATAAAACCTTATAAATGTAGACGGCGAGGCCCAGCCCGCGGCCGTACAGATATCTTGCAAGGTAACCCCACTATACCACGCCCACGACGAGGCCACGCCTCTCGTGGAGTGCGCTCTGACACCCAAAGGACACTGCAGGCCCTTAGAAGTGTAAGCTAGTGCTATGGCGTCGACTATCCATTTGGATAGGCTCTGTTTTGATGCGGCCAGTCCCTTGGAGTGTCCGCCAAACAAAACGAAGAGCTGCTCGGTCTGTCTGAAGACAGACGAGCGGGACACATAAGCTCTCAGTGCCCTGACAGGGCAAAGGAGACTCGCATCCTCCTCCTCCTCATGAACCGAGAGAGCGCACAGGGAAATAACCTGGGCCCTGAACGGTGTGTTGAGGGATTTGGGCACGTACCCGTGCCTTGGTTTGAGTATGACTTTTGAGTCATTAGGCCCAAACTCCATACATGACGCGCTTACTGAAAGCGCTTGTAAGTCCCCTATGTGCTTCACTGAAGCGAGAGCCAAAAGAAACACCGTTTTGAAAGACAGATGCTTCATGTCTGACAAATGGATTGGCTCAAACGGGGCACCTTTCATGGCTTCCAAAACCGTAGAAAGGTACCACACCGGGACTGAAGGAGGTCTGGGAGGGTTCAGCCTCCGAGCTCCCTTAAGGAATCGCACGACTAGGTCATTTTTCCCCAGTGACTGGCCAGACACAGGTTTTGTAAACGTTGCTATGGCCGCCACGTACACTTTGAGCGTGGATGGGGTCCTGCCCTTATCCAGCAGCTCATGAAGAAAGGAGAGTACTCCCGTGACCCCGCAGTCTACGGGTGAAAAGCCCTGAGCTTGACACCAGGCAGAGAACACAGAACACTTCGAGGAGTAGAGCCGTCTAGTAGACGGGGCTCTCGCCTGCGTGATCTTGTTTAACACTCCCTCCAGGAGGTTAGCGGGTACCCGTTGATGGCCCATGCATGTAGGGACCATAGTTGCGGGCGAGGATGTCAAATCGAGCCCTTGGCCTGAGAGAGGAGGTCTTTCCTCAACGGTATTGGCCACGGGGCAGTGCTGGTCAGCCGCATCAGGACTGGGAACCAAGTCTGGTTTGTCCAGAGCGGAGCCACAAGCAGCAATGGGCATCCGTTTTCCCTGATTCGTTCCAGCACTTGAGGCAGGAGCGAGACGGGGGGAAAAGCATAGAGGGGACAGCGGGGCCAGACGTGGGCCAGCGCGTCCTTGCTCTTGGAGAAATATTTCGGACAGTGAGCGTTTTCGTGGGACGCGAACAGGTCCACCTGCGCTCTGCCGAACGTTTCCCACAGCAGTTGGAT